TCAAGGTCACCTGAAGGTCAGGTCAGGTTATTGACCTTTGGTGACCTCGGTTCACTTTTTCGAGTTTTACATGTTTCTAGGCTAGTTTTTGGAGCTGACTTCGAATTTAGCAACCATTTGAACATTTACGAAGTAGTTTTGGTGCCTTCGTAACATGTTACGAAGCTGTCAGAGGCGGTTGACACCTACTACGAATACTCGGCAGGACGCGCTACTGGTTGACCTGACCTGACCTGACCCGACCTGGCCTAAATGCATGAATGCATCATCTGTGATCAACACTAACATGATATTCGTGATCAGCACCCCGAAAAAAACCATAGCAGCCACACTTTATGACGTTCTAGCAGGTCCCGATTTTCCCGACTTTTGGGTCATTGACTGACATGGAAGGTCAACCTTCCTCTCAGGTCCTCAGGTCTCAGGTCAGGTCATTGGCTTCTTCTCGTCACGGGCAACACGCTCGTTTTTTCCACGAAGCTATAGCTCGATCAGGGGCGAAACGGCAAGGGGGGGGGCAACGGATCCCTCAACCCTTATACGTTCGCGCTAGCTCGATCAAGGGCCAACGCGAGGGGGTACGGGTCGCACCAGCCCCTTTGTGCCGTCGAAGGACGCAAAATGGCTTGTGCCGGCGAGGGCTAACTTTGTAAGGCATTTTACCGTTGTTTGATCTGATCCAATCTATTGTCACCTACGCTTCTTTATTAAGCCAAACTCAATGAAGCTATGATTTCAGTGACAGTATTGTTATTTAAATGATGGCAGTTGAATAACATACAATCAGGTTATGCTCACGATTGTCTGGCAAACGATGACTTGAGTCATGCAATTCAGCAATTAGTAAGAAAAATGAGTTAGGGTGTCACCGAGACAAAACGTGTTCAAATAATTGAGACATTTGTTACAACGAAATGATAAAAAGGCATCATTCGCGGCACAACGATCAGCTTTACGGTGCTCTATAGGATTTTTTTTTTTGGGGGGGGGGGGTGAACTGCGTCAGCATACATTAATTTAAAAAATCATCAAAGCAGTATATACTGTCATCTGTCTATCAACTGTCGTGCATGTCTTAACATACCCCTGGCTCTCGTATACTGCTGAAAGTGTTGATTTCAGAGCCGATGGGTATGAGACATATGACTCCTCAACTAGGTGTACGAGTTAACATGTTGGCGCCCTCATTGTTTGATTGATAAATGGCAGCGCCAGTCCAGTATGTGTAAATATTGACCGTTAACCAGGTCATGGGCAAAATATTTGTGCTGAGTTATCTATGAACCGTGCGGAATGTCCCCCGCGACCCCTCACCCACGCTCTCTTTGGAGTCGTTGCGATTCAATGTCTTATGTGACCCTATTAGTGGCAGGCTCCTGGCTACCCCATATTAGTGGCAGGGGGGCTGTTTACGACCCCCCCTTGATATCTCGAGATCTAACCGGCCGATTTTCAAAATTCAAACGACATTCGATTTGGCTCAACGAGATCTACATTTCTAAAAAAAAATTAAAAAATGTCAATAGGGGGGTAGAGGGGGTAAAAACGGGCAAATTGCAGATACATTTTAGACTGTTTATCACGGCCAGGTTTCTGAACCAATCTTAACGCAACTTTTGCCGATCGATAGAGAATGAACCAGGAATTCACATGGATCCTAAAAATATGCATTTTCAAAAATCATAGGCGGATACAGATCATTGAGATTGGGGGTACACAAAAAGTATAGTAAATAAGGTTTTTGTTGGTACTGTTTCTAAAAAGGGTGGCAATGGTCTTGTTATGTTACAATTTTCTTATGAGAGAACGACTAAAATTGTATTGGTCATGCATAGGCGGTGTCAGGGCACCTATGTTGGGAGGTAAAAAATAACCCCCCTTTTTGGACGCCTGGATCCGCCTATTATAGCAAAAACGTGTCAAAAGAGGATGCACAATAACTTTGTATATGTTATCACATGATACCTTTCATTCACTGTTCGTAAAACTGGTGCAGCATCGTGATCTTCGCCCAAATGACTCGCTTCACGAATAGGACCCCCCAATTCCCAGTGCTCTGGAGCCGCCCCTGGTAAAGTTATGAACTTGAAATTTTCAGGGAATGTGCCCAATTTAGTTTTAGGAAAAGTCAGAAAATTTCAGCATCGTAGCTTCAGTGGTTTCGGAGATATTCCCGAAAAACCTGAGGGGTGGATAAAAACAACCCCCCCCTGCCACTAATAGGGTTAAGCCAATTCTCCAAATCAGGGAAATTGACATCAACAGTCGACATCAGGCAGACTGTCGCTGAGCTACGGAGCTACGCTGTGCAATGTGCATGGCCCCCCATCGTGACACACTGTGGGGTGGACGCTGCTGTCCGGTCACATGCCATCTCTGCCGACGGGACACTACATAGTTAGACCCTGCTGCTCGCGGGACACCTTGCCTCTCAGCAAGTACAGGTCTCGCGGGTTGTAACGGTAGGTTTTGCACATAGAAAATTTAGTGTACTTCAGGCTATATCTTCGTCGTCTTAAGCTTTTAAGTGTTGAAGATGCAATCGACTTGTTGGTTCACAAGCCGGCCAGGATTGTGTAAAATGGCTTCATCGTAGATCGATTAGTTACTGAGATATAACCGGAAATGTAAAAGTGCAAAACCTACCGCTTAATCTCGCGAGAGCCGTGCACTAGCAGCAAGTAAGCTGCGCAAGTAGCCCAACACCATACCAGACCCATGTCGCTCGTCATGCCACTATCTCTTAGTCTTGCGCTTGGAATTTCAGCCTCAGCTCGTTTCGTGAGGCACTAGCGCCCTTGTGCTTGCGGGACATTAGCCTCTGCTACCCAAGACACCGGCCGCTTCCTCCTTGAACACTAACCCTTTCTGCCCGCAGAACAGCAGTCCCTGCCACCCACAACACTAGTTCCTCTGAACACTGGTTCCTCTGGACACTGGTTCCTGTTTGCGGGGCATAAACCAGCCCATTTACGAGGGACAAAAAACCCTTCTGCCCGTGAAACCAGGCCATTCTGCCCATGGGACATCAGCCCCTGCGAGCAGGACACCAGCCCCTGTGCGCTGGTTTCAAGCCCCAGAAACTCTTCCCTCGAGGCCCCGTCCCCGGCATGGGCTTCTCGTCACGGACACGCTTGACAAACGGCCGAAAATCGACACAGCCGGCGACCGTTTTCAATTTAGAGTGTCTCCGACCAAATCCCGAACAGACAACCGATATATGATGGGCAGGAGGTGTCCCCACAAACTAAAGAAATGAAGTTCTGGTGTCGAAATGAAACCAAGCGCACGAGTTACACAGTACACACCCGCGTTTCATCCCAACCGACCCAACCACCATTCATGACAAATATGACACCCATGAGCACATCTTACTCATAGAAGTATGCGCATTTGATCACGAAGAATGGCATGGCATTTGCATATTTTGTCAAATTGATTTCGTAAAAGATTTATAGAAATACTGGTGATGTTTGTAGCATATTTAAAGGTAAATTAATCCCGCTTTGCTGGTGAACAGCGCAGTTTCTTTTCATTGCAAAGGAGGAGAAAAAAGAGATGGTCAACACGTAACATCAGGTGGTGGCCCGTCCTCACGTTGCAAAATGTCATCGCCATTCCGCTGATTGTTCGCGGTATATGATAACACACATGTGGGCCTTCAGATAAAGGAGGAGAATGAGGACTACACGCGCCAACGGTTGTAAACGCTAATGCCTTAGCCATTCGAAGGTAGAGCTCCACAGAATAATGCCTAGAGACTCCGGTTATGCTACAAAAAGTGAAGGAAGTAACGCTCCATAACACGAACTTTTAAGCAATTTGAACAGTTCTTAACGATATGCAAGGCTTGAATTTCCAGCAAAATGGAAGACTCCATTCGCGATTTGCCACCCAAGGTATGGGCTCCTTGAACTGACGGGGCACACAGTACTTCTTGGAGAAATTCAATGAATAACAAACTAAAATTCTGGGCTCCGGTCTCGTAATGCGAATTACAAAACAGATGGCTCAAATTAAGGTTTTCACTTATCTACAGTGTAGGAATAAAATATACTATTATCAATTGTTTACCATTACAGGTCGGTTCAACTGGTCAGTAGGCTAAAACACGGCACCCGTATCATGTTTTAGGTGAGAAGACCTGCGAAGCCATCCTTTCGTTAGGTATATGTAGCATCAAATAAGAACTCACCTCATAAGGCGGTGCTCTCGGTGTCTGCGGCATTTTTGAGCCGTAAAAACGAGATAAACTGGTCAGAGGTGTCGGCAGAACCACTACAGAAACGCCAATTTAGCATAAGTGTGATGATGTTTCGACTACATTTTCCGGAAAGAATACACTTGAAGTGACTTTTTACACGTATGTAGGACGACCTAATAAATTTGCAATCATATCCGAGCAACACCACCTTCGTATTCAATCGTTGCAGCCTTCGTTGCAATCATGTACCTGCGTACCACTTCCCTGTCGTTGACTGTCAGCTGAGTAGTCGTATATGGGGCTTCATTCACTGCGTGCTACCGATTGTCCTCTAAGGTTGGGCGTACCATTAGGAAAAAAGTCACTTGCAATGAACTGTAGCCCGTTAGTAAGAAAAGACATATTAACTCACATTTTGACATGCTGCAAAGTTACGTCCTATGCTTCTAAAAAATGGTTTGTCACCAAAGTAAATAGGTAAATACTGGCATGTTCCGATTAAGTTGTATCTGTGTAGTAATATACATAACGCTTAAAACTAGGGACCTTTTGGAATTTCCAACGGAAATGATGCAGCGCATGATCAATCCTTAAAGTGGAGCCATCTCCTACTGCCAGGCGAATGTGTTGTGGTCGTTTGCCTCGGGAGTTAGGGAGTATAGGACATTCAGATGCATAAGACAAAAATGTAAAATTTAAGATATCTTAAGACCTTAGATTATCTTCGTAAGATCTAAGATATTTCGCATTTATCTTCATAGTCCTATTTAAATTTACCGTAAGTACCCGGCCTCACCTGCTGGTCGTGGGAGAGGAGCCGCGGCAATCACCAGCAGCGCCAGCAGCCCGGTCCACCAGGAGAGCTCCATGGTGACGTGCACGATGTGCAACTGGCACCCCCGGGCGCTCCGCTCTGCCGGCGCGCCAAAACCGGCCGTCCGCGCGCTAATCGGACCAATAGCAGACGCCGGCGGCGGTCAGCGCGCGGCGCGAGCGGCCGTGCGCGCGCGCGCGGGGCAGATGCAAGTGGCGGACGATGTGAGGTGTCACGGCCCATCTGCGATCAGGGACGCCGTGACGCGTTCCGGACGACCGGTGGGTGACACCGACTGCCAGCACCCACTCACATTAGCGCCGGCCGGCCCGGCGGATCTCGCTAATTACCAATCTCCGCAGTCAAGTGCATTTGCCGAGTTGAATTTCAGAGGAGCTCTGACCGCCGGAAAAGGGCTGTGACAATGGTACTGTTCGATTGGCTCGCAGCCACTGATGAAGGGAAAGATCATAGATGCATTGCTTATTATTTGCGCTATAACTACTAAATTTAAATTAAGTGACGTTACTCTTTAACCTTCCAGGCGGTGGGGGGGGGGGGGCATTTTTTTGCCCCCCCCTTTAGTTTTTTCGATATATCTCGAGAACCGCTGCGCCGATCGTCACTTGACTTTCAGTACCCTCCCGGGAGCAGCTAGCGCACATGGTGACCAAAAATTTTTCCAAAGGCTATGATAGGTTGGCCGCTAATGACGACAGAGTGACGTCATTTTTGCCATTTTCGACCCAAAAAAAGGTTTCGCGGAAAGAGCTGTCAGGCCTACAGCTTTAGAGATACAGAAAAATGTGTCAGACATAAAAGGTGTGAAATTTAAAGGACTACAAAACTGCTATTTCGGTTTTTCGAATTTTTTGGATTTTGACTCCAAAAATAAAAAAAATAGATTTTTTGAATATAATAGCCAAAAAATCCAAAAAGTTTTTTGAATTTCGAAAAAAACCAGAATATATGTGATAGCCCCTACCGCCTTCTATCTACATACCAAATTTGAGATCGATACCTCTTTTTTTGGCCAAGTTATAGCGAAAAAAACTGTTCAAAATTGATGACGTCAAATTTTCAAACTCAATTTTTAGCAATTCTAGACCTCGTAGCGCAAAACAAAGACCACCATTAGACTCCCCGTGACGAGCTGCATCGAATCGATACCCATTTTATGCAAAAATATCAACTTTGAAATTTGACCTTTTTTGACCTGACCTTGACCTGACCTCCACCAGAAAGTGACCTAAACCGTACCTGATGGTCTTATAACCAACACCATTGAGTTGGAAATGAAAAACTGGCCATAAAACATGCATCGCATAACCTTAGTAAAGTTGGGCTCATGTGGTGACCCTTGGTGACCTTTGGTGACCTGACCTGTGACCTGACCTGGTATGACCAGTGACCTCTAACAGCAACATATGTACTAGACAACTGACGCCTTATCGCTGATTTTCGACAAAATGCGTTTTACTCGGTGTTATAGCGCTTTCCCTAGAAGCCCCGTGAACGGTGAAACATTTTATCTTTGACCTGACCTGTGACGTCATCGGTGACCCTGAGGTCAATGAAATTTGGTTTCCCTCCACAAATTTGACAGGGCTATCGAACGCCGTTTGAATTTTCCGGATCCGTCCAGTAGTTTCGGAGATACGGGGGGGGGGCAAAAAAGTGCCCCCCCCCCCCACCGCGCGGAAGGTGGCTGGTAGGCCCACCGCCTGCCGGGTGAAGCTGGATGTGAAAATAGATCTAAAAAGGCACCCTAAGTTGCGATAATCAATGCGTTTTGTTATCCTGACGGGCAAACCTTGACCAAGAACCCAGACGGCACGAATCCCTGGCTAACTCCACTGTCGATACGCGGCGGAATTAGAAAAGAGAGCTCGTCCGGCCCGGAGGGGTCGTTGGCAGCGCGGCCGACGGGCCGACGAGCCGACGATGCGACGAGTCCCCACCTGTGTCGGCTGGTGCGTCCATTCACAGGGGACGCGTTAGTTATCAGTTGTCAGTCGCTGTAGCCGTTGTCGCAGTTGTCAGTCGCTGTAGCAAGCTAACCAGTCACTGACTATATAGTAAAGATTGACGAGATTTTCCGAACAGAGCGCTGCGGAGGAAACGTCCAGTCAGTCATTCGATATTCAGACTAAAGGCCGAACTCAAAGGCGCTTATCAGTTAATAAGCGTCCTGCTGGGTTCCAACTAAGCCAACTTAGCCAATAGCCATAGTGGGAAGGAGGGGTGTAACCATGAATGCACTCAGTATACAAAACAACAACAGAGAGGTAGGAAAAAGGGGAAAAATAATAAAATGCTTTCAGTAAGTACCTAAGTACCTACCCTATTCGTGGCAGGCTCCCGGCTAGTTACCCCTATTAGTCGCAGGGGGAGGGGGGCTGTTTACGGCCCCCTTAACATATCGAAAGCTAAACGGCTGATTTTCAAAATTCAAACGGCATTTTGAAAAAAAGAAAATTCTCAAAAAGTAAATAGGGGGCAGTAGGGAGATAGGAACTACGAATTGCAGATGTTTTTTTTCAACTGCCCGTCACGGCCATGTTTTTTTTAGCCAATTTGACGCAACTACTGCCGATCGATGCAGAATGAACCAGCAACTGACACGCACACGCATAATCAAAATGAGCCTTTCGAAAAATCATAGGCGGATACAGGTAATTGAATTTTGGAGGTATACATACATACAACATACATAATAAATCGTTTTTTTTTTGCTGGTGCAGTCAGCGAAACGGGCTAGCAATGGTTTAATCATGTTACAAAAACATGTGATAAAATGCCTAAAATTAGATTATAATTCATAGGCGGCGTCAGGGCACCGAAGTTGGGAGGTGAAATCGAACTCCCTTTCTTTTTCCTGAAACCGCTTATGATCCACCTCTTGCTCACTTGTGAACATGTAATACCTACCTACAAATTATGATCATTTCAATCGCTATTGCATTTGCTACTAAACATACCAAACGTCATGATCCGAGAAGCAAACATTCACTGTGTGTAAATACTTTACAATATTCAGCATCTGGACGCACCTATGATTTTCGGGAAAAAACATAGCTTGCAACTATTAGCGATCCCATGATATGATGAATTTACATGATGAATTTGTAGTCGCTCCAGGGCAGTCTGACTTTTAGGGTAGAGTGGGGCAAAGCGCCCAGGGCGGGTAAAAGGCCCACCCCTATTTTTGTGTGAAATGCTCGACTTTTCAAAGAATCCCTGATAGCCATTTTCAAGAACACTCATGAATCTGCTTGTACTTCCTTTTTTGGTTCCACAAGTGGGGTGTTCTGGATGTAAGATAAAGATTAGTATATTTCTGACATTTTTTTTGAATTACATGCTTTCTTACTGCTAAAACTTTGTCTGATAGAGATTAAAGAAGGCAATGAAATTTAGCTATATCGAACCTGTAGATTTAAGCTACATTTTGAACATTTTTGTTTGCAACACAATCGTGACAGATCTGATTTTGGTGGACTTTATTTTGAATGTGTTGTTGGGGTAATACGTTCACTTTGGCGTGGGCAAAGCGCCCATCATCGGCCAATGGGAGTTATACAGTACGGGCAACTGCGAGCATTTTGGGCTCAAAATGAGTGGCGGGATACGTTTATGATGCTCAGGATTCTGATTAAATATGCAATTTTCTGGTTAGTATCTGTGGTGTCGTAATGTCACGTGAGGTCGGGTCACAGTGCTGCCGCCTGGTGGTGACATGACCCGGGTGCGACCGGCTCGCGGAGCGGGAGTCGCCCGCTGACGCTTGAGCCGCGCGGAGCTGCGGTTACGTTTATTACTTTGTATCGTTGTTCATTGCTTATGTTAAATATAGGTACTGCGAGACAGTACAGTATCGTCTGGAACGATTTATTCGCAAGAACTGATCTCCGCTCCCCAAGGCAGTGACAGGCGTTGACTGAATAAGGAGTGGGGTGGCGACAGCAGTGTTTAAGATGTTTTTTACTGGTGTAATCTGTCGAGTTGAATTTTAACAAAATGAGGAATGGATGAATGCTACATTATTTTGTCAGAGTATCAAAAGTGTGATGAAGCTTTCAGGACTGGGCGTTATGCCCCACTCACATGGGCGTTATGCCCCACGGGTGGGGCAAAACGCCCGATTTGTAGTCCTCTCAAATCGTACGGCATATCTAAAAAACTATACATCCCACATGTTTCTGATGTGTTATTCGAAGAAAGCATTGGTAATGAGCTACTGGATCCGCTACCGGGTTAATGGTTATCCTTCAAATTTGCAAGATAAAGAGATACTGAGGCTGGAAAGTTAGGGTGGACGCTTTGCCCCACCCTACCCTACCAAACGCTCATCAAATGGTGCAGTGCATATAAAAATCAAGCCCCCCTTTTTGCACGCCTGGATCCGCCTATTATAGGAAAAACGTGCAAAAAGAAGGTGTACAATCACTGTGTATACTGTATATGTTATCACATGATACCTTTCACGGTTATGATGCATCAGCATCGTGATGGTAGCCTAAATGACTCACTTCACGAATAGGACCTCACAATTCCCGATGCCCTGGAATCGCTCCTCATAAAGGTATCAACTCGAATTTTTCGGGGAAATGTGCCCAGTTTAGTTCTAGGAAGTCAGAAAATTTCAGCATCCTAGCTCCGGTCGTTTCGGAGATATCATCCCGAAAAACCTGAGGGGTGGATGAAAACACACTCTGCCACTAATAGGGTTAAAGAATAAAGGCCATTTTGTTTTGCTCAGGTCAGCACTGAGATCAATAGAGGTCAGCAAAGGTCAAATTTTTCCAACTTCAATATTTTGACGAATCGGCATACAGCACGCGAACAACAAAAGCCACAGGGCACAGGGTCTCAATGAAGCGCATTCGATAGCACTATAAAGCTTTTTCGCTGGCATGTTTGGATTTGAACTCCGATCAACGCTTTGGTATGGCTTTGGTCTCCAAAGGGCAAAACCCGTCAAGATTCAAGATAAACGGATTTTGCGGAAATGGCTTTGCTGCAAGAACGTTAAAATCAACCAATACATAGCGTAAGTGTTAAAGCCATCGTGTTTCTCTCGTCACGACGCGACGAATGAACTACCTTTAATTAATCTGACCTTCTTACTCCCCTCCGACTGGGGCTGGAGTAGGTGGGTGAAGCTGACAGCCCCCTGAAGGCTTTCTCACAACTGCTCGGTACCTTTGAAGATATAGAGCTTAAACGACCTATCAAACGCCGT